TTTAATTCAACTTGTCTCTTATTCTTTTCAACTTCAGCAAATAAAGTCTAGCCTTCCCACCCCTTTCCTCATAAGGCAACTTGCTCATTCCCTATTTAGTTTAGTAAACCTTCCCTGAACTGTTTCCAATGGATTCACATATCTTCATCATGCTTAGGTTTTATAGACAGGTCATAGAATTTCTTATTATTTTTGTGCTAACACTCCTGACGTGTAATGTCTGTAACAACAATTCATATCAATTACTCAACTATGGAAATCTTATTGAGTTCTACTTTCACAACTTTTCTTTGTGCGCCTTTTTGGAAATATACTTTTCAAATTCAACACTCTTCCAAAATACTAGTGTGATTTTTGGCCTTGTTGTTTTCTTTAAACACTGCCACCTGGTTCCAGGCAGCCTCCATTACTGACTTGGATGGTATTTGTTTTTATCCTTAGTTTGTTTTTCCACCCTCCTAATTTTCACATTTTTCTTCAAAACTGCTATAGATTTGGAGCTCCAAAAATCTCTCTCCTAGGCAACTCTTTGTTGGTAGCATCAACACAAATGTGCTGTCATGAACGTGAAGTTACACATTTATTAACATGACTTATTTCAATTAAGACTTGTAATGGATTTACCACCAAAACAGATCCTTTCAAACTGTCAATCCTAAAAAATGTGAATTTTATTGTAACTTCATCAGTCTGCAATGGTGACCTGTACCAAAATAAACAATGGGCTTTGAAGTGTAACTGTGTCCTCAAAAATAAAACACAAAACAGCCAAATATGGTCTAAGTCATTTGCTTGCAACATTAAATGAAGAACACAACGGAGTAAGCAGCATGAAGTAATTTACTGATTTGCTGCTTAAATAACTACCATATATGAATTTTGTTTTATGGTAAAAGTCAGAAAACAGAAGATCAAAGTTTAAGTACATACAAAGAAACCTCGCCCCGAAGTACTGCAAAGAGGGCTAGTCAAGGCCTGGTAGAAATCATGGGGTTTGGAAAAAGCCAGCTCTTCCTCCTCCTCAAAGTCAGCAATACTTTTTAACAGATCAGGAGGCAACAGAGGTGAGCTCTTGGCATCCTACAGACAGAAGAGGAACAGAGGAAGAAAGAATACTCAGAGATAGGAAACAAAAGTAAACAAAGTCTTAGCGCTGGCTTCAGAATTAAAAATACTGAAAATGTATTCATCAATAAAGACTCCTAGCAAAATGTAATTTATCTATGGCTGGGAATTTACTGGAGGGGATAGAAATTGCTGAGAAGCACTGAAACTGAAGTTAACACACAAAGTCCCAATAGAGTTTTGAGTGATTTAAAGTACAATACTAACAGTCAGTCTTCTGGGACAAAACAAAATAATTCTTACAAGCATATAATGGAAAATATGGAGTAAAAATATTTTCCAAGTACATCATTCACCCAATTTAAATGGCATTTATGAGAAATTCTAACTATAGTATTAACTCACTAATCCTTATTTTTACAAACACAGCTACAAACTAACCTTACTTCATTCCATGTTTAAATAGTTCTACTTTTAAAAGGATCAATATTAAAAAGTGGTGAAATATTTCTAACAAGATATTTACAGATGTGTCACTCAAACCACTGAACAGGACTAATTAATGTACTTAACTGTATTAGTGAATAGCTGATGTAAAGATCCGTAATTTACAATAAAATAATGAGGCGGCTTTGGATGTCAAATTATGTGAAAGTGCACAAAATGTAGCAAGTAGAATAGGACAGGTGCAGAACAAGATGGAGATGAGCAAATAAGGATGCTGCTTGAAGATTACGCTATATTACAGAATGGTGACAAGTATCACTTATTAGCCAGTATAACTTGAAGGTTAGTTATCTTAGCTTGTAATATTATTACAGTCTAACTGGAATAATATTTAGAGAAAACAAACTCAAAAAGTTATTTCTAAAAACTTAACATTAACAGCAAAACAGAACAAATCCAAACACATTAAATCACCAAAGAAATATGTCAAATAATACTTTAGATACATCATTTTAATTCACATGTCCCACTGTGCTAAGAATTAAGGGACTTCCAATTCCCCATATGCCTTTTCCAAATAGTTTATTTTCACAAATAAAGTTATCTTAAACTCGTTACAGAGATAGTAGGAACTGCCGATGCTGGAGAATCTGAGATAACAAGGTGTAGAGCTGGATGAACACAGCAGGCCGTCATTGATGCTGCTTGGCCTGCTGTGTTCATCCAGCTCTTCACCTCTATATCTTAAACTCCACTGTTTAACCAGGTTGGTCAAATCTGGAAAAGCATACTTTCCTATATAAAAGAACAAGTCAGCAGTGAAGATTAAAAATCCCAATATGTTGAGCTGAATCTAAATATTTCTGCAGCATAATAAATATAAAAATTCCTATGGCATAAATTAATGAGAATAAGCTTTGGTGAAATGAAATCAAAACAGCTATCATACATGCATGTTGTTATCAGAGTTTCATGATGTACTAAACTATGCTCATTTCCATTTATTTACAACTTACCTCATACGACTGCATTCTAGACATGCTATCTTGATCTGTTCGAAATACCCCTGGCTGTCGTTTCACCATACGATCATTACTCAGTTGAGGTCCCATAATATGCCGCATTTCTGACAGAAGAATATAAACATTGAGACAAAAATATCCAGACAGGTCCAATATGCCTATCCCGTTTCATATATTACCTATATCTATCATCTCATCCACACTCTATTCAAAAATGGAACTCTAATAATACTAATTTTTAAGATCCATGTAATTTATTCTTTACTTTTCACTTTACTTTTTCTTACTAAACTTTTTAATTTCAAGATTAAAATGCTTTGGTTCCTCTCCTTCCAAAATTCATACAGGCATAGACAAAGAAAGGAGGAGTAGGAGTAGGCCATCTGACTTCTCAAGTCTGCGTTGTCACTCAATATGATCATGCTAAAAACCGTAATCCTGCCCTCCCCTCATATCGCATGGATTCCTTTAGTCTCAAGAGCTATATCTATCTGCTTCTTGAAAGTGCAATGGTTTGGCCTTAACTACTTTGTGTAGTGAATTCCAAGGGCTCACCACTCCCTGGGTGAAGAAATTTTTGCTCATCTCATCTGGAAAAGTTTATCCCTTATCTTTAAGCAATGACCCCCAATTCTGGACTCTCACCACCATCATCGGTAACATCCTTCCTGCATCTAATCTGTCTAGTCCTGTTAGAATTTTAAAGGTTTCAATGAGATACCCCTCATTCTTCTAAACTCCAGTGAATACAACCCTAATAGTCTCAATCTCTCCAGTTTTCAAGCATGTGCCCCAGCTTCAATTTGGACATTTTATAAATGTAAATAAATGTTGCTTTCCTTTGCAAACCCAGAAGCATTAAATTTCATGGGAACTGCTATCACTTGGACATTAACCAAGAAAGTAGAAAAAGCAAAATTAAAAATTCATTTGTGTGTCAGTTAATCAAACATTGCTCTTTATTGATTTGATTGGATTGAATCTTTGGTACTAACGTTTGGTAAGCAAGGTTGAAGCCAGAAAGCTTTTAAGGTTCTGATGCCCCAATAGACTTACGGGTACACTTTCAGAAAGCAGAAAATGAGCAAAACTAACATAACTAAAACACAATAAGAATTGAGTGCAAGAAATATTAATATCGCTTTTAATTAGGGCTGCAATAAAACTTCAAACTGACTATATTAAGCTAGAATATAAAAGGAATAAGGGCAAATGCAGCTAATTTAGGGATTCAAATAGCAATACTAGGCATGAACAAAAACATTTGGAACATTCAAGGGACATGGCAGTTTAAGGAATAAGTAAAAATTTTATTCTACAGAAAATAATGGAATTTAATTCATTAAATAATGAAGCATTTAACATAAGACAGTGACGAGCATCCTAGGGAAGACTTTTTTAAAAGCAAAGCAGACTTGCAATACAAGTGTAAGACAGAAAAAGATTATTTAAAATAAAGGAGAAATCAGATTCAGAAAGAAGCAAAATTTACATTTCTGAACACTATACCAAATGTTCCATCTATCATGACAAATAGAAGGCATATCAACCTAATGTTTTCTAGTCAATGGGCAGTGCAACACACCGTGCTGTAGACAATCTCAATACAGCTGGTTCCATTCCACAAAAAATTTATTTCTCCTCTACTGGAGGCATTAAGGCAGAACTTTTTGTACTGCATCAACTTTAATGCTAAACTGTAACATTAAGCCTTAGCTGGTTGTCTGACAAGAACAAAAAGAGGTGAAAGTACGAATTACTGAACAGTCCGATCACATTTCTACATATGCAAGATTTTATAGATGAGTTATTACGTAGAAATCACAGCAGGAACCCAGATCGATTTTGTACTCTTTACCACAGATGTACACTGCAATTGCAGTGCCCTACCATCCCAGAGGGACCAAGTAACTCAAAGAGCATGGGACTGAATCCGAGACATTCATGATGAGATCAAGAATTCCAAACATCAGAGCATTTATCTCAAGGAATAATCAAATCTAGTCAGCATACCATAGTCCCATGCAAAGTCCTGCAATTTCTGCACATCTGAAGGATTAGGGGTAAATGGTTCCATAGGGAAAGCCTTCAGGTTCTTTTCCATCTGGACTTGCTGCGATTGTTGCTGAAGTGACTTTTCAAACAGCTTTAATGGGTCCTGATGCATGTAATAGGGTTGCTGTTTCAAAGACATCTGGATTGATGTCTTCTGATGCTGAGAGGAGACCGCATGATGATGTTGATTCCAAAGCTGGTTGGTCTGATCAGCCTGCAAATACTCAACAAGAGAAAAGATAATATTTTAATTGCAAGTAATCAAAGATTGATTACCTAGTCTGCAGGAGCACTTAATGGAATTAGAAAGTTTATCTATACACTACCTGACAGAGGTCACGAAGACACAAACTAATTTATACATGATACAATGCTGGGACACAATGTTTTCCATCCTATGGTGCTCAACGTAAAATACCAGACTCTTGATGACTCAAGTTTTTCTATCAAAGTGACTTAAGTTTTGCATCTTGTATTAATTTCAAAAGACAAAATGTTATTTCGCTGAGGTTCAAATTTAGAAATTGAGGACACTAGCCAATTATCAGACCCACTGTGTTTCCACAAAAATAGATTTGTAACAGAAGTATACTTAAACAGGTAGACAATGTTCAAAGCAGACTGGCAAATCAATATTAGCACCGAAAAATAGGTTTTTAATATTTTGCAACAGCGGTAGATAATACAATTAAAGCAGTAGTTATGGGCTTCATGTGATAAATGCAACAAAACAAAATGGCATCATCTGAACCATCACTATTGATTCAGTAGCATTTTTAATACTACTTTATATAACAAGCTTGTTAGTGTACATGCAGAACTCTTCTCAAGGAGAATGGCAGAGATAACAATCAGGGAGACAGAGAAATTCTAATTCAAACAGACTATTTTGGGTCACTAGAATGATGGCATCACATATGCATTCACAAATGCTCAGACAGGAAAGACAGAAAGCTTTCAAAGTAAAAACTGCATATTATCTTTTGATTTAAATTTTATTTTAAATCAATCAACTTTTTAGAATTTGTCACATTTGTCTTACCTGCTGAGGTCCCAGATGGTGTTGATTCTTTCCCAGTTGCTGTGTTGCCTTAGTTGGGGACTGTTGATTCACAACTTGAACCTGAAGCTGTGATTGGGACTGGGGAACCTGATGTTGCTGAGGTTGTTGTTGTTGGGGCCCTTGGTTAATTGGCCCTTGCCCTGATGGTCTCTGCTGGCTATAAGGGACATGAGACTGCTTTCCACCAGGCACCTGGTTTCCTGACTGTGGGTGACTAGTGGCTTGGAGGAAGGGTCCTGGTATGGAGACTCCAGGTGGAAAGGTATAGCCAGGTGTCATCTGGAAAGTAACTGGTGGTGACACAAGATAGGGAGGTGGAGGGAACCCTGTAATAACAAAACACTATTACCAGGCACGGCAGAACTATGATTCAGCATGCATATGAATCCTAATCAGCAATTAAAGAAATAACAGCATGCTGCTTATTAGAGTTAGTTAGCAATTGATGGCAAAGGAGGCGGCTACTCAGCATAGGGAGTCTCAGTTGGCTCTCTGTGGAGCAACCCAATCAACTGCATTCCCATGCTTGATCTCTGTAAACTTGTAAGTTTATTTTGTTCGAGTGCCATTTAACCTTTCATTGTAAATCATTAACTGTTTCTGCTTCCAGTAGCATTGCAGCAGCAAGTTCTAGGTCAATTCCTCTCCTGACGTAAAAAGGCTCTTTCCCATATTCTCCCTGTATTGCTTGTTCAAAATCTTAAAATCTGTGCCCCCAGTCTTTCAAACATCAGTGAATGGGAACAGGTTATTTACCTGGTGTACCTTATGTAAACCTGTCACAATTTTGTACATCTCTATCAAATTTAATCTGAATGTGCATGGCTTGAATGGAGTGCAGGGAATTTGAGGTGTTGAACTTTCAAACCAAAAATAAAAATTTGTTTGAATTTAACATCTAACAGTTAAGATTTGACTCAAAGTTGCATTTGAATTCAGGGGCCATGGATCTCAGCAGGGCATACAAACTACCCACTGTGCAACAGCTGTAGTTGGTTAATTAAGGAAGTTAGATTGAACTGTTTTTCTATAACTAGGGTTAAGCTAACTCTTTAGTTTTAAAGCATATAAATATAGCATGTCAGTCTGACTTAGCACTGAGCACTACCTGAACAAGAGTGCTGGGTATTTGGTAAATTGTGGGAAGTGAAGAAATGCTCCCTTATTTAAAAAGAGATAGGAAAGAGAATTTTGTCCTGCATTCAGAATCCAGGGATAGAAAGTTAACAAACCAGACATCAAAAGTGGTAACCTTCATATTACTCCTAGTCTTAGGCTCAAGTATATGTGCACATAGGACAATTGGACAGATGAATGCATGGCTAGAGGTACAGATGGGAGGGCTTTGGACTCTTGGGACACTGGGATTGACTTCGACAGTCCCCTCATTTGTGAATTTAAACAATGTCTACAGTTACGGGAAAAAAGGCACAAAGTCAATGCTTATTTGGAAAGCTGGCTCATAACACGGTGGATTGAATGGCCTCCTTTTGCACCATTAAAATGCAAAGTGTTTGTGGGTGACATTTGTAACAAAGCATAAAACAGCATTTCATTTTTTTCTTACATTTCAGCTTTCGCTTTCACATACTTTCACTACAGTAGTTCAGCAGCTCAAATGGAGGCAATTATATTCAAAGTGGGGTTTCAGTAAGAAACAAGGTGTCACAATGCATAGATCAAGTTTCAGTAAAAATCTGAATATCAATGCAAGAATCTAAAGTAAACAAACAGTCATCTTGAGAAATGCAGGAGTTGCAGTGACATTAATTTGCTGACAAGGTCTAAAGAAGCAATAATAATTGGGGTGAGTGGGAATGAAAGGAGGTTTGAGATTAGATCCTAGTTGGTGTGCTGGTGGGTTATCTAGTGAAAGAGGATGGGCCAATTAGTGTTGCTTCTAAGATGACAGCAGTGGATGCTTCAAAGGGCAGAGTGGGTCACTGTAGACACATTTGACCCTGGAATGAAAGAAGACCGGCAAATTATGTTTATGTGACTAAGCATTCCTTATTTATACCAGAGGTGACTTGCCATTTACCCAACTATATAATTTTATGTTTACAACATCTTAAGAATATAAAATAATGGATTTGCTCACTGAAATCTTTATTATTAATGCTTTTGGAGGCCGGAGGAAGAGCAAGGAATGAAGGGAAGCAAGGGTCAGATTACACCAAAAGACTGCCACCTTTCATCAACATTTTCCATGACAATGCAAAACTGGCAATCTAGGTTACAGGGTAGTAGACAGTCAAACTTAAGAGCAGTGAAATCTACAGCTAAATCAGAGGCACAGAACTCACTAGTAACTGTTAGCAAAACCCCTTATACTAGGTATCTTGTAATGTTGTGCTGTGGACATGGAGCACCCTCCTTGTCATCATTGCATTTCAAATTCAGAGTTGGAGTATCCTGTCACTCCATTGCTTGATTATTCTTGCCTCCACAGTTGTGTTAGGCACTGATTTGGCTGCACATTGTGTTACCTAAACAACTTCTGCAAAATCTAAATAAAAAGGAGCTATTTTATTAATAATTTCATTGTCACAATGGCCACATGCACTTAACAAGAGACACATCTATCCAAGTAAAATTTGGAGGACGCTTATGTGACTTACTATGCCCCTGCTGAGCTCCCACAGCCACAATAGGAACTTGAGCATACTTTGTACATGGGGCAAATTCAGGAAAATCAAGTGGGTCAGAACACTACACACCAATTGTTGGTTGAGAGCTAACTAAATAGCACAGTGCATTAACCTTGTAAGAATCCATCCTCAGATCAGTTTTTAAAATGGTCAACATTGGAATCAATTTAAAACAAAAAGATCTGATACAAAATACAGAGCCATAGATAACTACTGCAAGGCCTGAAAAACCAGCTTTTGCATTAATATTTCCAAATTTAAATATGTAAACACACTCACCTGGCCGGCTAGGAAGAGGAGGAAATGCTCCTGGATGATGGATGGGGATGAACTGAGAGGTGCTGGTTTGGTTTTGTGACTGGGTCACTGGTGTTTTCCTCGCCTCCGATACAGGGGTTTTTCTCAAATCTGTCTGAGTTTTTACCTGATGAATGCAAGTTATAAACTGAAATCCATAATCCAAAGTACACCCTCATATTCTGACTCAAGTTCTAATTTTTCCTAAATTTACTGGACAGGATATAAATAGTGCAAACCTCAAAACATGCACTCAGCTGACACGGTCATAAAGTAGAGTACCACAGCTAGTACAAAAGATCATAAAATCTTAAATCACTTGTTCAATAGATTATGCCACAATTCAGTCTTCTGTATTACCTTAGTCTGGAACTCCAATCCATGCACACCTTCAAAACACCTGAAGGCATATCCTTCAGTTCCAGAAAGGATCTTTCATTATCTCCTGGCCAACCAGATCAAGATTATGTTTATGGAGCATAAATGTCATGGATATCAGAATATAAATTCAAGTGCCCCAGTAATAATCCAGAGATACACCCCAAGACAGTGACAAATGACAAAACTGGTCACCTTAGAGTTTATGTTCCATAAATAAAACTTGTCTTTTACTAACACCAACGTCAAATTCATATACAGTGTAACACTTTGCTCTGCACAAGTAATAACACCAAATAAAAGTTCAATTGACATCACATCCTTATACAATCACAAGGATCCCACTAAAGCACCAAGAAACCGGGTTCTATGGTGGCCTCAGTTAATTATTCCGTTTAATCGAAATAAAAAGCATAGTACCTCTTCTTCACTTGGCAAACCATATCAATGCTTGCCATTCAACAGTTGGGTAGTGAAAGAGGCTTCCTAACATATCAGGCTAGTAAAGACTATTTATTCCTCTGATGACATCAGATACATATTCTGTAATTCTGGTATGGTAGTATTTTAATAACACAAACACTTTGAACATTGTGTTAGAACCGCGTAGTTGCTACTTTAAGAAAAACTATTTTTTCGCCCCCCAATTTGTTTGTCGACCTAAGTGTGTGGACATGGCCAGCAATGTATTGCCCATCTAATTGGCTTGACAAAGTGGTGGTAAGCTAACTTCACGAACCACCTCAATCCTTGTGATGCAGATATACCGATAGTGTTGCCCGGAAGAGTTTTAACCCCGCAACTGTAAAGAAATGGCACTATATGACATTAACAGCCAGTTGGTGACATTGCTAAGGGCAGCATGTGGATAAAAGGGGAAAAGGGATCAAGAATAAAACCTTGGGTGGTCTCCAAATGATGCAAAGATAGAAAGAATACAATTTCTGGAAGTGATTGGTTGCAATCAGATTGAAAAAAGAGCAAAGGCAATCCTACCATGGTGGACCACAAAAGAAAGCTACTCAAGGCAGAGAGTGAGAAAAAAGTAAAATGTGTGAAAGGCTGCTATGTTACATCTCAATCTCTACTTTACCACTCGTGCACACTGTCTACTGCTCTGAGCATCCTCATCTCCTTTCCCTCTGTCAACAGCATTAAAAAAAAAAACAATTTTCTAGCCCCTTTCAGTTCTGAAGAGTCATATCGGACTCGAAACACTATCAACCCATTAAATTCAATAACTCATACACTAGATCCCTAGATTCCGATGTATTTCTGTATCTTGCAGTTATTCTACATTTAATTAACACTTCTTCTTATTCTTCCTCCCAAAGTGAACACCTTCATATTGTCCCAAACTTTAGTTTATCTGCCATGTTTCTGCACAGAAGTTTTATATTTGCTACTTTCCAAGTCACCAAAGCGTCCACCGATGTTAACATACTAGTTCTCCATGCAGTTGGTACAGGATGAGGTCGACACTAACAACATAACATGACCTTGCTGGATTATGTACATCATACACAGAGAAGCTTCAAAAGAAAAAGGAGTAAGGTGTCACCGCTTGAACTGAAATTGCCATCTGGAAAGTCTCTGATCACTATTTACAAGGGGAGACAGTCCCATTGAGTCAATTCTGTTCACAATACTTCCTTAGTTCTTTTATATTTTATTCCAAATTTGGATTCTGAAGCCAATTTCCAAGTTATAAAAATAATCCAAGATCAGATTCATCTCAAGACCAGACATCTGACTCAATGAAATAGAAATCAGGCAGGCATTAGTATTTTTGTTAGCTTGTAACAAAGCAAATGAATTTTTGCATATGGATGCTTTTCTTCTTATTTGTTACTGTCTCACCACCAACCACAACAGGTTTATTTACATAAGGGTAGTCGTCATGATCCTCACAATCTAGCAACCTACACAAAGTCAGGAAGATTCCAGATTCAACTGCTGAACTGACAAATCTTAACTAATTCAGTGGGTCTATGCTGTAGACAACAACCAGCACATCCAAGTTTCAGTTTGATTCTATATTGTTCAAATGAGATAGATCAAATTCCCCAACAATATATCATCTCTCTCACAGCTTTAACTATCACTCCTATCCATTAAGTTCAAAAAGCTGCGTGGAATCATCTTAAACCTAAAGAATGGTCCCAGGTACAGGAACAGAGAATCTTGCACATCCAGAGCAATAACTGACTTGATGAGTTCCACCTCAGTCCAGGAGAGATTTGTACTCCTGCCCCAAATTCGTGGTTGGAACAACTGGAGTAACCAGGGTAGGAGTGACAGAATCAGTGATTTCTACAGCAACTGTCTCTTTCTGGTATCTGTTGCTTCTCCAATTACCACTCTGGCAGTCCTGCTCTTAATAGGAAGAGTCTTAGCAAGAAACTGATAGTTGTTGAGTGGGGAAGACTTGATGGGTTACTTAAAAGCCCACCAAAATCACAAGGCTGCCCGAAGATCAGAAACAGCATTCTACTCACAAGCGAGGCAGTTTCAATTTTTATCAAAACTGGTCTTTCAGGTCAGAAAGAAAGATGCAGATTTCAGCTACTGGATGTTCAGAAATCCAGCACATGACAAAACTTTCTCATTTGAGTTTCATACATATACTAAATTTTCACCTTGCTGCAAATTTTGATGTGCCAGCCCCGAGTCTTACCATTATTTAACCTTAGTAAACACTGGCTCATCCAAAATGCAAAATTACATTAGCAGCCTGACAACTCAGAGGCAGTAAGCAGGTTAAAATAGAAAGTAGAACTCAGTTTCTCACACCTAATGGTTGGATGTGGTAAGGAAAAGTTTCAGGAAGACTTGGAGTTGGTAGGAGAGAAAAATTAACATGGTTATCTTTGCCCCTCAGGATGAGACTAGAATAGAGCACGTAGTCAAATTTTAAATTCAGAGGTTTGGATTGTTTGCAAAAAATCTTTCATAAACTTTTCACATCACATTTGCAGTACAACTTATGCTACCTGCAGAAATATAAAATTAAAAAATACTATTTATAGATCTATTTTTATGGCATAAACAAAGATAAATGAAATGGAGTCAGCAGGTTACTGATCACTTCCCTTTGCCTTTTTATGTCTACATACTGCAATGCATCTTCCTAGACACTGTAACAATGCACCACTCTTAAAATGCAATGGCAAAAGAGTGCATTGGAAGCGCATAAAAACTGAAAATCAAGAACAATTTACAAAGTACAATTCTAATAAGACCTTTTAAAAGGTGAGATTTGTCCACTCGTGGTAAATAACTAGGGTATCAACACAGATGGGGAGTTCACAACATTTTAGAAAGCAAGCCTAAAATATTCCTAAAATGTTTATGTTTCTAATCCATAACACTTCAGAGGATACTTAGAAGCAGACTTTGTATATAAAAGAGTAGGTCTCTGCTAATATTACTAAATTCTGATCCAGAACTTACTTCAGAATACATTCCCCTGGTGTCTCCCTGCTGCCACTTTTAAGTTTCAGCATTAAGTTCTAGATCATTAGACTTCATTAATACATTTTTAAAACTCATGAAAGTAAATTTTAATAAAAGTTATGAGGAGACAACCATATTAATTAGCAAACAACAGTCTCACGATTTATGGCATTTTAATGAGACCAGCATCAGGCACCAATACTTTAAATCTACTTTCAACACCGCCAATGTATCTTAGCATCCATTTGTCTAAAAAGTAATTAAAATTAAAGAACAATTTAAGAAACATGCATGTTAGCACACGTATCTCAGAAGTTTTACTGCAAACCTTCAGCATATAATCTAGTTTAACACCTTCATGTTGAACTAAGGGAGTCCTGCACAACCCAAGATGCCTCCTTTTGATCAAGGAATTAAAGTCCTAGCTGCTCAAGTAAACCTAAAAGATCCCAATCACAATAATCTGGGCCAGTCATCCTTCAATCCGCAATTCACACTCTCAACTGGTAGCTATTTTTGTCTACACAACAATGCATGCACTTCAGAAAGAGTGCTACCTTGTAATTTATGCAGCCTAAATGCATATTTCTCTTTCTAGTATACTTAGATGTTTCTCTTTCAAAACAGCTGAGGTAAATATGATTGCTCACATCCATTAAAGTCCAATTGGTTTTGGTTTTCATCTCACATCCCATGTACTGCTTTTAAATTTTCAAAGCACATTTAACAGCAATCACTGTAAATTGAAGATTCAGCTTACATCACAAAGTAAATAGATTCCAAAATCAAGAAGTAGCTCCCTACCTGCACTGCCACATTCTGTTTCCGTGCATGTTCCAGATTTTTGTCCTGGTTGTTTTTCTTTGGTTCAGTCTTTCTCTTATTGCTGTCTCGTTTTACATCCATTTTGTTTGCAATATCATTTCCTTTGTTATAGTCCCATCTTTCCTTCATGCCTTCTTTCGGATGGTGATTCCGATTCTGTTCTCGTGGTTTAATATTCTCCTTGAACGTAACCAGTTTTTCACCACTTTCTGAACTGTTACTCTGAGTCTTGCCTGAAGACAAGACGGATTTTAGACCCTGACTAATCTCAATGCTGCTAGGTTCTGAAAAGGGTGGTTCCAGCAAGATCAGACTATCCTTTAATTCAGAAGAATCCTCATTAACCAGCTCTGGGATGTCAGTTACAAACAGTAGTTTTCCTTCTTCAATTCTGCTCTGGATAAGTCTGAGAAAGTAATATACATTGTGAACAAATACTTGCACAGAACATGCTTTAGGAATGCCAAAAGGGTTACATTGTTAAGATAATTTGTTCATAAGTTTCTCCACACCCCACCCCTCCCAACAAAATGTGTAGAAGAATAAGGAGTGAGTTAGTTGTGTTTAAGATGCTTTGATAGGGCAAATAGAGAGAAATTATTTCCTGTGACTGACAGTCCAAAACAAAGGGATATTCTAGGCAGGATTTTCTGAGGAGCGACAATCATACAGAGATCGCCATTCTGTTCCTTTGTTAAATAAAGAGAGAGCTTGACATTTCTGACACAAGATTTTGATCAGGGCTCCTTCAGAATCGGAAACCTGTACTTTAAGCTTGACAGGCCCCTCACAGTGCCAGACAGTGAAGGAGAGACAAAACATGCCCCTTTCTCACAGCAATCAGCTGTCATACTATGATTTAAAAGTCCATTTTCTCAGACAGACACATTAACAGCTCCTGTGAAAGGGTAAGTAGGTAAGCTAAATGAGGGGGTGAGGGACAAGGTTGGTTGGGTGGCAAGGGGGCCAAGTGAGTGAGTGTGTCTTGAGAGGGTGGGGTGGGAAGGATGACATAACAGCAGGGATGTTGGGTCCACTGGAAGCAGGATTTGAGATTAGGGATAGACAACATGGCTTTGTGTGTGGGAAATCGTGTCTCACCAACTTGATTGAGTTTTTTGAAGAAGTGACGAAGAGGACTGAAGACAGCAAAGTGGTGGACGTGATCTATACAGATTTCAGTAAGCCGTTCAACAAGGTTCCTCATGGTAGATTGGTCAGCAAGGTTAGATCACGTGGAATACGGGGAGAATTAGCCATCCGAATGCAGAACTGGCTCGAAGGTAGAAGACAGAGGGCGGTGCTGGAGGTTTGTTTACTTATCAGAATGGAGGCCATTGACCAGCTGCGCTGCTGAAGAAAGAGACCTTGGTGTGCAGGTCCATTGTTCCTTGTAAGTGGAGTCCCAGGTAGACAGGATAGTGAAAAAGGCGTTTGGTATGCTTGCCTTTATTGGTCAGTGCATTGAGTATAAGAGCTAAGAGGTCATGTCGCAGCTGTACAGGACATTGGTTAGGCCACTTTTGGAATACTGTGTTCACTTCTGGTCTCCCTGTTGCAGGAAGGATTTTGTGAAACTTGAAAGGATTCAGAAAAGACTTACAAGGATGTTGCCAGGGTTGGAGAATTTGAGCTAACGGGAGCTATTTTCCCTGGAGTGTCAGAGGCTGAGGGGTGACCTTACAGAGGTTATAAAATCATGAGGAGTATGGATAGGGTGAATAGCCAAGGTTTTTTTCACCCCAGGGTAGTGGAGTCCAAAACTAGAGGGCATGGGTTTAAGGTGAGAGGGAGAAGATTTAAGAGGGACCTAAGGGGGTTTTTTTCACACAGAGGATGGTGCGTGTGTGGAACGAGCTGCCAGAGGAAGTGGAGGAGCTGATACAATTACAACATTTAAAACTATCTGGATGGGTGTGAATAGGAAGGGTTTAGAGGGATATAGGCCTAGATTAATTTAGGATATCTGTTTCCATGCTGTACAGCTCTATGACTATTAGGATGTTAGGGGTGGGTAAGTGGGGGAGCAGTTCAAGGTCTGAGAGATGTAAGGGGTCTGGAAGTGGTGTAATTTAGGGGTGCATGTGGGGTAAACGTCAGAGTGTCAGTTTTATAGTTACTCAGGAATTATATTCGTTTTAATAGTCTAACTTTTCCCGAATGACTATTTTCTGAACTGCCGCTGAACCGTCCAAATTCTGATTTAAACAGATAGTTTTGGAGGGTTCCAGGTATAGTGGAATTGCCTGGTAGAATCTTCAATTTCCCAGGCAAGTCTCTTGGAATCTGTCACATGGGGTTTCAAAAAAATCCCTGTGTGCAACTTCCATCTGTGTTGCAGAAACACCTGTGTAGCCATTGGAGAATCTGAACCAATATTAAAATTGGAGCTAGACCAATCAGGTGGGAATCAGGGAGCACTGTTTCACAAGAAACGTAGTAAAAATCTGGAACCTTCTTCCATGGAAGATAGGTCAATTTGAAATTTAAAAAGGTTGACAGAGGTTTCTTAGACAACAATGTTTAAGTTTTTCAGAATCAAAATTTCTAGACGGTTGAGAAAGAGGTTAGCCATTTTCTAACTGAATGGACAAACATGCCCGAGGGCTGAATGGTCTACCTCCATTCTTTTGTTTAACAAGCTTGTTTTTATTTTATGTAGTCTGTAAAATTCCCTACAAAACTTTGGGGATTTACTGAAAGACTTATTCAACCTGTAGTGCTGAGATATTTTTAATTCCAACACTGCAACAGCACAATAAACCCCTTTAAGTAAAAGCAAGAGTGCCTCAATGTCAAAGGGCAATGAGATTTAACCAACTTGTTAAAACTGTAAAGTATTAGTGGTATAACAAGGTGTGGAGCTGGATGAACACAGCAGGCCAGGCAGCATTTCAGGAGCAGGAAAGCTGACGTTTCGGGCCTAGACCCTTCTTCAGAAAAAAAAAAAAATCAAGCTTAGTTTCTTCTATCTGTGTGCATCCTACATTAGACTTCTTTGCTGAAGATTAGATGCAGATTTTCTGCCAACTTGTTCCAATATTGGCTTCACCTGAAAAGTCTGGCTTCACCTGAAAAGTCTGGCTTCAC